TATATTTCTTTAGTAAATGTTGTTTAAGCTACACTCTAGATTCTAAATGACGCCGAAGCTAACTCATCCGCTGTTTTCTCTTGCCCAAACCCCGCCATCATGATCACCATCAGATACTCCGTGAGGTCGCGACCGGCCAAGTCCAGCCGTGCCACCGCGTGCGGCAGTGAGTAGCCTTCGTAGATGGGCACCGTGTGAGAGACACCGTCGCCGCTGTCCAGCACGATGCCCGTAGTGCGGCCGGAGGAGTAGAGCGACAAGACGGCCTGGAGGAGCTCGAATCAGTGTCACGGTGGAAGAAAGAACCCCACAAAAAGCGGTAGAAGGGGGGACCGAAGGATGGTCTGAGAGATGGGCCGCTACAGGAGGTTCAATTCAATCACCTTTGATCATCATCTGCTTCGTGAGATTTTGGCCAAGAGCGATCCCCAACATCGACACCCATCAAAAAAGAGAGAAATGACTCTCCACCTGGATGGACACATACATGGCGGGCACGTTGAAGGTCTCGAACATGATCTGCGTCATTCGCTCCCGGTTGGCCTTGGGGTTCAAGGGTGCCTCGGTGAGCAGCACAGGGTGCTCCTCAGGGTTCACCCGAAGCTCGTTGTACCAACAGTGGGACCAGATCTTCTCCATGTCCTCGGATGAAGAGGAAGAGACTTCGGGAGAGACATCCAAGTGGTGCCTTGGGTGTTGGTTTGGTGGTGAAGAAAGTGTATAGTATTCCGATGTATTTGGTGGTCAGTTGCGCTAAGTGGTGTGTGAGTGTATAGGGTTTGTTTTGTCGATTTGCACTGGACACTCAAGAAGTCTACGTTCCACGCAGCAAGGACTAGTTTGGGAGAAGACTTCAGCTCTAGCAGACTCTAGCATCAAGCTGTTACTGAAGCTTGGATCAAAACTAAAAAGTAGCACGAAAGCAGCTTCAACTGCTGCCTGGAGGACTCTTTGGATTCGATGGGTGCTGTTCAAAATCACTCAACCCTTTTGAAACCTCCTCTCATGCAAATCCCCTTCCCGCTGTTGGCCCAGCATCATCCCAGTTGGTGACGATCCCGTGCTCGATGGGGTACTTCAGCGTCAAGACCCCACGGCGTCCTTGAGCCTCCTCGCCGATGTAGGTGTCCTGCCATCAGCTAGACAAGCGCAGAGGCTTCATCGTCCCAAAATATGCCCAAACAGGTGT